AAAAATCATTTACTAGTTCATCACTAAATGTTTCATTTTTAGACATAACTAAAAAATTATATGAATAAAATTTTATTCAGTTTAAAATTGAATTTATATATTTCTATTTATTAATATTAATTATTAATTTTTTTATTTATGATTAAAAAAAAATTTTTCTAAACTATTGAATAGAATTTAAATTTATTAATTTTAATAATTAAAATTTAGTTAAAATTAATAATAATATAATTTCTAAAAATATAACTTAATTTTTATTATATTTTATTAATATTTATATAGATATTTGAGATTTTCCTATAATAGGTTTTTTTTTCTTAAATAATTATATAAGTATAAATTTATAAATATTTTATTGAATATTCTATTATTGCATTATCAAATAAATCATTACTTATTTTAAATTTATATTTCATTTTTTTCTTAAATTCTTTTAAATCAGATTTTTTCACTTGTGTTCTAAATTTTTGTATTTTGTTAATATAATTTAATAAAATATTACAATCGAAAACCCAACAATGCATATAATAATTATCAATATTTTTTATTATTTTACTATTGTTTAAGATTAAATTTAAAAATATATAACAAAATTTTTCATCTTTTAGATAATTACGTATGTGTTCGGGATAAATTTGAGTTATAAAAGAAGAATAAAGAAAGGTATTTTTTTCTTTACACCATTCAATCGAAAAATGATGATATTTCCAAGTTTCAAACATGTAATCCATAGGATATGAAGTATCATAATCAACTATATCTTGGCTATTATTTTTAATATATTCTTGTTCATTTTCTGGTAATTCGTTGTATAAAATATGCAGAGTTTTTGAATGATCAGAATATTTAAAGTATTCATCCCATAGAAATGGTATTGCATGGATACATATTGTTCTTGAAACAAATATTAAAGATAATAGATCTTTTATATTATTTTTATTAAAGATAATAATTTTATTTAATATTTCTGTTGGTAATTGATTCATTGTTTTATTTTATTAAATTAAAAATAAAAAATTGAGTTTATATAATTTAATATTTTAATAATATAATTAATAATTAATTTAATTTATAAATATTAGCAAAATATTTTAATATTTTATCATATTAAAACAAAATGTCTAAAGAAGAAAAATTGAGTGATAAACTTCAATATGATTGTTTTTATTATAATAATGATAATGATAAAACAATTATTACTATAGTTCTTGAATATATAAAAAATAATCAAGAAATATTAAAAGATAAAGATATTATAGATGAATTTAAACAAATTTTTAAAAATATTTATATGACTAATAAAAATTTAAATGAATCAAAAAATTTTAATTTGGAATTAAATAAAGATCATGAATTTGATAATGAATATGTTATTATATCTGACGAATTTGATTTTAATATAAAAGAAATAAATTTTAATATAATTCATGAAGAATATCAATATCTAAATCTCATTAAAAAT